ACTTCTTCTCCGCTTCACTCCTCCATTAGGGTCTCAAATTTTCCTCTTTATTCTCCAAAAAACCCTACCAAGATTCAATCTTTTTGATCAAAAAACAAGAAAAAACCAAAACCCAAGTCATGAAATTTCAATTAGAAGACATAACAGTTTACTTCCCATATGACAACATATACCCAGAACAATACTCATACATGTTAGAACTCAAAAGAGCTTTAGATGCAAAAGGCCATTGTCTTCTTGAAATGCCAACAGGAACTGGAAAAACCATAGCTTTACTTTCTTTAATCACAAGTTACAGACTTTCAAAACCCTCAAGCCCAATTAAGCTTCTTTATTGTACAAGAACTGTACATGAGATGGAAAAAACATTAGCTGAGCTTAAATTACTGTATAATTATCAGTTACAGCAGTTCGGGCCGGGGGCCCGAATGTTGGCAATCGGGCTTTCGTCTAGGAAGAATTTGTGTGTGAATCCAAATGTGGTTTCTGCTGAGAATAGAGATTCTGTTGATGCTGGTTGTAGGAAATTGACTGCTAGTTGGGTTAGAGCACTTGCTATTGAAAACCCTAATGTTCCTACTTGTTCATTTTTTGAGAATTATGATGCTGCTGATAAGGCTGGTACTTCCACTTTGCCTGCTGGCGTTTATACGTTGCAGGTACTTTAAATTATATGTACTGTCAATGTAATGGATTTTGACACCATCTTTGTAATTTAACCTGTTATAGTAGGTTACTTACCGTTTATTGCACGTTACTGATTAATGCTTCAATCATACATAATTGACGGACTTAAGTTATATGCGCCGACATTGTAATTATTTTTACACCATCAGTGTAATTTAAGTTATATAGTAGGTTACGTGCCATTTTACATGACCTGATTGTGTGTGAATCATTTTTACACCATCAGTGTATGCAACTCAAAATCCATTATTGATTATGCTTTGATCCCAAATTAGTTGGAGTTGGACGCGCCCAAGCTTTGGTATAGTGATATGAGCTTAGTGCGTGATGTGTTGGTTAGGCGCACTTTACGGATTTCAACCATGTGGCAGACGAAAGTGTGGTGTTTATAAGTGGTGAATGATAAGAGGGGCGGGCTCATTATCCACTGAGTTTGGAGCCTTGCGACATTGGCCCTCTAAAGGGCAGCTCGGTGCACTAAGCTCCCGCTATGCGCGGTCAGGGGAAGGGCCAGACCACAAGGGTCTATCGTACGCAGCCTACCATTGGCCCTCTAGTTATTAAAATAAGTTGGAGTTTGGCTATATGAATCTGATTCAAAGTTAGACTATTTTTAAGCTTCCATCAACCTATTGGAACACTCCCATTTCATCTAGTTATGCTTTTGTGAAGCTCACATAGGCAGAGTTAGGAAAAAGACACTTTTTTGCTTGCACCAGCTGGGAAACAAATTGGTCATTGTTGATATTGCTTTTTGTGAAAGATGCAATGACAATTGTGTCTAATCTACTTTGGTTTGAGATGGGGTCATAGAGAAACACCTGAATTTGCAACGGGAAGAGAGATAAGACTTGTTTTTTCATTGCATTCTATGGTCTAAGGGCTGATCCTTGACTAGAACTTTTACTGTCATTATTGAGTCAAGTTTGATTGCTTATGTTTTTGTGTTAAAGTGGAGGAAATGATCAAAATGGTCCTTAATGTATTGGGGTTGCTTTATTTTGGTCCTTAATATATCTCCCTTGATGGATATAGTCCTTAATGTATGTTAAAAGGTGAAATGTTTGGTCCAATTCCAAAGCCCTATCCCTAACAGATTTTTCAAAATGGGCTGTTAAGCTTAACCTCTTTACCCTGTGCCGGTCACGTGAGATTAACCAAGTACCGTGAAAATCATTCTCCGTGAAAGCTCATTCTCAAACTCAGAATAGCTACGCTTTGTCAAGAATCATGCCTCAATCTTCTACATCTGTGCACTTGTTGTTCTATTTGCAGGTATAAAAAAATGCATTTTACTTCACTGCTAATTGAACTGCACTGCTAAATAAACTGCACTTCCGAAACTTGAAAAAAAACAGTTCTGTACTACTAAAAAGCAGCACTTCAGAAGTTTAAAAAATTGCAATACAAATATCTGCACTTCAAAAACTGAATTTGTTAACTTTTCAGAAGACGAAAATTTAAGTGCCGTTTCAGTAGCATCATTTCAGCAGTACAAGAAAACAAGAGTAGGGAGATCGACACTTATACAATAGCATGGACATACCATACCCAATAGCGCCTCCCATCAAGGTTATTTGTTGAATTTTCAAAAAAAAAAAAAAAAACATTAATTACAAGAAATAGATATGGTATAAAAGACTAAATTTAGAGCTTCGACTTTCGGGTTTTAAAGAAAGAAGTTGATGAAACAAAAGGATTTACTAGCAACCTCAATTACTTTCGAATATACTAGTGATTTGATTAGGGCTACTGTATCTATCTTTCAGTAGTCTCAATTTTCCTTAACAATGCCAACAAAAGGCTTCAAACCTGCTTCTATCAAGGTTGTTTTTACTTTCCAATCGAAGCAACTTCAGAGATGAGTATGGCCAGAGAAGAGAGAAGCCCCTTTCATCGGCATTTTTGCTTTGTTCTTCCTTCGTCAACATCCTGATGGCTGAGACGAACAACTCTTCCTTTGTTTGATTTCAGAAGAAAGCAAAAGCCTTTCTTAGAATGGATTTTGACTGGAGAATGGTTTCACATTATTTGGTTAATCTCACGTGAGCGGCACATGGGGAAAGGGGTCAAACTTAACGGCCCATTTTGAGAAATCTGTTAGGGATAGGGCTTTGGACCAAACATATCACCTTTTAATATACATTAAGGACTATATCCATCAAGGGAGATATATTAAGGACCCAAATAAAGCAACCCCAATACATTAAGGACCATTTTGATCATTTCCTCTGTTAAAGTGGGTGTCCAAGTTTGCATATGTTCAAGAATGTTTGAAAGAGAACTGGTTATAAAGAAGCGTTTAAATTTGCAGTGGTGAAGAGATGTGACTAGTTTTTGCACTGCATCCCACGCTTCGTGGACTGATTCTTGACCAGAAATTTCTCTGTCTATGTTTGAGTCAAGTTTTGTTGTTGATATTTTCTCTGACACCCCCGAGTTTGCATATATCCATGTAAGACGGTTAGTCTCCATTCGTGCAGGAGCTCATTGTTTGGCAATGATTTTTTTGGAGGATACAAAGATATCTGTTATATCCAATTCAATTTGGCTTGAGAAGTGCTTGTATTTGCAGTGGCGAAATGAGATATACTTGTTTGGCGATTGCATTCTATGCTCTAAAGATTGATTCTTGACTAGAATTTTTTGCTCTAGTCAAATTTTATACTCTATATTCTTCTCTGTTGATGGAGGTGCTCAAGTTTGCATATGTTCTTGTTAGATGATTAAACTGTATTGTTGCAGGAGTTAAGGATGTACGGTAAGGAAAAAGGTTGGTGCCCATACTTTTTAGCGCGGCATATGGTGCAGCAGGCAAATGTTGTGGTTTATAGCTACCAATACCTGCTTGATCCCAAGGTTGCTGGTATTATATCAAAGGAGATGGAGAGAGAGTGTGTCGTGGTGTTTGATGAGGCCCATAATATAGACAATGTATGCATTGAGGCACTTAGTGTTAGTGTGAGGAAGCAGACACTTGAAGGGGCAACAAGGAATCTCAGTAGGATGTCTCAGGAAATTGAAAGGTAATTGTTACGTTAGGTAAGCTTCTTATGAGTGCTACTTGTTATCTTCCTGCACCGGGAATGCTTAACTTCGCATGTTGATGTTGTTTGTTTGCATTTAGCCCCACAAAATTTAAATACTTGTTCTATACTATAATGTTGATTTTAGTGATTATCGACCGGGACATTTTGTGTCCGTACCCCCCTTCACGCTGAACCATAGTTTGCATATTCTTACGTACACAAAATAGAAGTATAAATTTGCTAATTCCATTTGAATTCTTTACTTATGCTGTAGTTCTTTTGGTTAAGTTTTGGCATATTTGGAGTACCTCAGATATTGTTCAGCCTTAGTATATATGATGTTATCATCTGTTATAATCTATAACCCCCTCCCCACAAACCCCGAAAAGGAAAATACGTAAAGAAGAAGAAAAGAAAAGTAGAAAAGTGCTGAATACCATGTTTGTCTAACATCTTGCATGGTAGGAAGGCTGAAGGCCACTGATGCTGGTCGATTGCGAGCAGAGTATAATCGTCTTGTTGAGGGTCTAGCACAAAGACTGCCTGGTATTTTGAATATACTGTCTGTTGACTGTGTACTTCTAATCATGTACTAGTGATACTAACCGAGGTGTTCGCTCATCTATTTCTTCTTTGTTATAGCTCAGGATGTATGGCTTGCTAATCCTGCCTTGCCCGATGACATCATGAAGGAAGCGGTGCCTGGAAATATAAGGCGAGCAGAGCACTTCTTATCTGTTTTGCGAAGATTTGTCCAGTATCTTAAAGGGCGTCTTGACACTGAAAATGTGGAAAAGGAGGGTCCTGTTGCCTTTGTTGCTTCTATTACTACACAAGTTGGAATCGACCAAAAGATGTTGAAATTTTGTTATGATAGGCTTCACTCTCTTATGTTAACCCTGGAGATAACTGATACAGATGAGTTTCTGCATGTGCAAACTATTTGTGACCTTGCAACGTTGGTAGGGACGTACTCTCGGGGCTTTTCAATTATAATTGAACCTTTTGACGAGAGAATGCCACATATTCCTGATCCGGTCCTTCAGGTGCGTGTTTGCTGCTCATGAGGCAACTGTGGACGTATTTGTCTTATAATACATCATGTTATCTAAGTTTGCAACATATATCTCTTGATTTAAGTTGGGGTTTTTGCCATTTTTAGCCCAGCAGCCGAAAATAATTACAGGCGGTAGCGCAAATATACAAAACATATTTACACTTAATATAGAAAACATATACATTTGCGGGCTATTTTTTTTTTGGGCGGCCCAAAAATGTTATTTTCCCATTGATTTATCTGTATCAGAGATTATTGTTCTTAGTTTCTTCGGAACATTTTATCATGGAGATATTGGATATTTCTAGTGCTCTTGTTTTGTTAGTTGTTCTTCAGGCATTTACTATTATGCCACCCCTTATCTATCCGAGAATGGCGTCCATTTGTCTTGCTTTGACTAATCTTATTTTTCTTTTAATGATTGTCTCAATTAGTCTAATAGTAATCCGTGTTCTGTAATGAAATTTGTTTCTAAGAATATTGTTACTATTACTATATCGAAATACATTCAACCATAAAGATGTCTCAGTCGACAGTGATCTTTCAGTAATTGTTTTACTATTAGTGTTCAATTTCCTTACTTCAGAAATAATTTGGCATGCCAGCTTACCTGTCATGATGCTTCTCTCGCCATAAAGCCCGTTTTTGAACGATTCCAGTCTGTTGTTATTACCTCCGGGACCCTTAGTCCAATTGATCTCTACCCGCGTCTTCTCAATTTCAATCCGGTAGTTAGTCGAAGCTTCAAGATGTCTTTGACAAGGGATTGCATATGCCCAATGGTCCTTACACGGGGAAGGTAAATCTTTGAACCAGTTGTTGACCCTATAATTATACTAGTCTCAACCCCCACCCCCTTCGGGTTTGTTATATGTTATCTGTTCTGTATTTGTGTTAATTTCAGTGATCAGCTTCCAGTAAGCACAAAGTATGATCTGAGAAGTGATCCTGGTGTCGAGAAAAATTATGGGAAGCTTTTGCTAGAAATGGTGTCTGTCGTTCCAGATGGCGTTGTCTGTTTCTTTGTCAGTTACTCTTATATGGATGGAATCGTCAATAGTTGGCATGAATCAGGAATATTAAAGGTGCCAGTATACCTTTTATTTTATATGAACTGATTGAGATTAATGCTTTACGACCATGCCTTAGCAAACACATGTGGCTCCTTCTCTCTACTGTTTTTTCTTATCGTCGTTATATGATGCAGGATGTAATGCAACATAAACTGGTATTCATTGAGACCCAGGATGTTGTAGAGACTACATTGGCTTTGGATAATTATCGCAGGGCTTGTGATAGTGGGAGGGGTGCTGTTTTCTTCTCTGTTGCTAGGTGAATCTTTTTTCGAGTTTATGCATTTAACAATTTTGTACTTCTTCCTCGTGTGTTTCTTCTTTGCCAAACAAAAATTACTATGGGGTCAGTATTTCATTTGTTTCGGCCTTCGAGCGGGTTTGGTTAATTCAGGTCAGCAACTGAATTAACTCAACTTTCGGAAATGGAAAACTGATCTTTGGACAAGAATGAGTTCAAACCCTTTTCAATTTATGCTTCCGGTTTGGTTTAGTGTTGGCCTAATTTATTTTTGAGTTTGCATTTTCTCTCTTTCTCTCTTTTTGCTTTAAAATATGTCTGTGTTACTGTGCAGGGGAAAAGTAGCTGAAGGTATAGACTTTGATAGACACTACGGCAGGCTTGTGATCATGTTTGGTGTTCCTTTCCAATATACACTAAGCAGGTTAATATCTCTACGTCTTATGCTTCACTTTCATGTACTGAGGTACTTAACTTGGATTTTATGTGAATTAGAGGATTTACTGTTATTAGAGCTGTCCATTTGGTTGGTTTGGCTTCCATGACCACAATTCAGTTTTTAACCAGACTATGTATCACCAAAATCTCAATTTTAAAAAGTTAAAATACTGCCCTCTTATTAGAGTCACCTGACAAGCAAGATCAATACACTTAGGGTTCGTTTGGTATGAGGGATAAGGGGTAGTTAATCCCGGGATTAAATTTAAGATGAGTTTATCCCATATTTGGTTGGGATAAAATCGTGGTATAACTAATCCCGGGATTATAGTGTTTTTTATCCCTATGGGAGGGTGGGATAACTAATCCCGGATAATTAATCATTGGATAATTTGTTTCCCAACCAAACGACCCCTTAAGCTAATTGTTCTCAAGTCATAAGCTTCATAAAAAAGAAACTGTTCTCTTATGGTCGAATAATGAATGGATGTTTATCTTTTTAATCAGAGAGAAACTGCAAGAGCATATTCCTTATGACCTATTAATGAAAAGATTATCTTCTTTAATAGGAGAATCTTTTCTCTGATTGAGACGTGTGAACTTATCTATTTAATGCTATAAATTGCACCTTTACCTTGTTAAATTTGCAGAATATTACTTGCACGATTGGAGTATCTTAGGGAGACTTTCCAGATAAAAGAGGGCGATTTTCTTACCTTTGATGCTTTGGTACTTTCAGACTCAGTCAAGTCCTTATAGCATTTATTTGGGACTTCGTTTTGATATAATTAACTCCATATATACATATATATTCAGAGGCAAGCTGCTCAATGTGTGGGGCGAGTTATCCGTTCGAAGGCAGATTATGGCATGATGATTTTTGCTGACAAAAGGTTTGCTTCTTTGTCTGGGTCATTTCTATAATATTAATAGAACAGACAAGTTGGAAGTGGAATTTACAAAAAGATGCACAAGCAACTGGTTATATGTTTTACAGGACCTCTTATCCTAACGTTAAATTAAATAGCTCCCTCCTGGGTGATTTTTGTTTTTTTAATATGTACTAGTTCCCCCACACCCCCCCCCCCC